TTTGAAAAAGACTTTTTCAAACTTATGAATAACTCAGTATTTGGAAAATGGAGAACATTGAAAACAGAGTTGATGTGAGATTAGTTACAAAAAGAGAAGAAGCTATAAAATTAGCATCAAAACCTAACTATGAAAGTAGTACAATATTTGATGAAAATTTAATTGCAATACATATGAAAAGAACAAAAGTTGCATATAATAAGCCTATTTATTTAGGCATGTGTATTTTAGATTTGAGCAAGACTTTAATGTATGAATTTCATTATGATTACATAAAAAATAAATATGGAGATAAAGCTAAACTATTATATACAGATACAGATTCATTAATCTATGAAATAAAAACAAAAGACTTTTATGCAGATATTGCAAATGATATTGAAAGTAAATTTGATACAAGTGAATTTAATAAAGATCATCCAGCTGTTCAAAATGGATTTAAAGTAGGTGTAAATAAGAAAGTAATAGGAATGTTTAAAGATGAGTCAGCAGGAAAACAAATTACAGAATTTATTGGACTCAGATCAAAGTTGTATTCTTACAAAATAGATGAAGAAGATAAAAAGAGATGTAAAGGAGTAAAAAGAAATGTAGTAAAAAATTATATTACACATGAGGATTATGAAGACTGCCTGCTTAGCAGGAGAGATCAAATGAGAAAAATGAATGTCATAAGATCTCATTGTCATGATGTTTATACTGAAGAAATAAACAAAATAGCATTGAGTGCAGAAGATGATAAAAGAGTAATTCAAGAAGATGGTATTCACACATTAGCATATGGACATTATAAACTTAAATAAACAGGCAAGCAGGCAGGCAAACACACAGGTAAGTTATTTTTTATATCTAAAGAGATCTAAAAAAATCTAATAAAGTAATAAAAATGGACAAACATATCAATGTTGAAGGAATTATATTGCCAAATGTACCCTTAACAAACTTTCAATTAATAAAAGCAGCAAAAAAATTAAAAATTAAAAATTTTAGAGGTGTATTTGTAAGAGATGAATTACCTAAAAATACACAAAACAAAGAATGTGGAATATTAAATACTGGAGATTCAAGTACGAATGGATTTCATTGGATTTGTTGGTATAAAGATGGAGAAGAAAAATTAAGTTTTGACTCTTATGCACTACCACCTCCAGTTGAACTTGTTCAATATTTACACAGTCCTGTTTATTATAATAGTAAAAGAATTCAGTTTGGAGACACTTCTTTTTGCGGACACTTGTGTCTTTATGTATTAAAAAAGCTTGATGAAGGTGTTGATTTTCAAAGTATTGAAAACTCATTATATTGAATTAAAAAAAATATGTATAGTATATAAAAAATGAGTATGAATATAGCCGGTAGTAATTCATTATATGGTTACACAACAGATGGATTAAATATCAACATTAATGTTGGCAATACAGCCACTACTGATGTTGATTTGAATTCACATAAATTAATCAATGTAGCTGATCCTACAGATGCACAAGATGCAGCTACAAAGAATTATGTAGATAATAATCAGATTTCTAGCAGTTCCTATCTAAAAATAGATGGAACTAATAGTATGAGTGCTAATATAAATTTGAATTCACATAAATTGATCAACGTAGCTAATCCTACTAATGCACAGGATGTAGCTACAAAGCATTATGTAGATAATAATCAGACTTCTAGCAGTATGTATCTAAGAACTGATGGTTATAATCCTGCAACTGCTAATATAAATTTAAATACAAACAAACTCATCAATGTAGCTAATCCTACTGATGCACAGGATGCAGTTACAAAGAGCTATGTTGATGATATGCAAAATCAAAGTTTAGATATCATTCCCAATACAAGTTTAATATGCTTTGGACAAAAATCTCAAGCATTCTATGCAACTCCAGGATCATATACCATTTTTAGCTATAGTGGTAGTTCAGGAATTCTAAAAAAACTGTGGATTGCATTTACAGGATCTACTATTGCACCTAATACTGTACCAGGTAACTTGTTTTTAAAAATATATGCTGACAATGTACTTTGCATAGGTAATGATTCTATTGTAACAGATGGTGTAGGTATTAATAATACAGCTTTAGCTTGTGATTTATTAATTGCACCACTTGGTGGATCCTATTATGCAAACCCTTTACAAGGGTGTAATGTATTTAGTACAAGTGCATTAGGAGGATATTTTACATTTGATCTTCCTTTTACATCAAGTTTGAATATACAATTATACAATAAAACAGGAAATTCAGTGACCTTTTGGTTACAACCTTTTATCACAAGAACTTCATCGTTACAACAAACATTAACTAGTATTAATCCTCTAATACCTCGATCTATCTCATCTATTAAGTTGTACTCATCAACATTTAGATACGTAAATACAACTTATGGTAGTGAATATATGCTAATGAATGTTATGGATAATGGAAACGGAGTGTATTTGAAATACATAAGAATGCATGTTGTTGGAGGATCTGGAGACTGGTGGGAATCTAGAGTTCGCATCTATGATGGATATAGCGCTCCTACCAATACTAACTCTGTCATTCAACCTTGGACACCCTATAATAATAATGGATATACTACATTTTCTGGATATGATGTTAACAGTCGATGTATCTACGCTTCATCAGGTTTAGAAGATTTTTATCTCTCTTCATGGAATGGATCTAATGTAAGCTCATTTAATAATGAAGTATCAGGATTATTGAATCAATCAACTAGTACAATTGGTCCAACAACTACAATTTCATTTTATAGAAACTTTAATTCATCTGAAAGTATGCCTAGCGTTGGTAGTGGTAGAAGAATGGTAGTGACACTCAACTCTGGTGATGCACAAGTTGGACAATCTGGAAGCTATGCTGCACTGATAGGACAATGTTTCTACTATGCATAAGCAAATCCTAGCGCATGCGCATTAAAACAAGAAAAATGAGTTAAATAATTTTCTTTTATATATAAAAAAAGAATGGATCTAGAAAAAAATCTTGAGAATAATAAATTTTTAATAAAACATTCAACTCAGGTATATTATATAACTGAAATATTAAAAAAGTATAAATATGAAAATTGGGATAATAAAGTTGACTTTGCTGCAGAAATAGATAGACTTGATCTAATTAAATTATTAGTTCAATTAGGAGAAACTGGAACAGAAGATGCAATTGATTTTGCTGTTCAAAATAAAAATTTAGGTATGATTAAATATTTACATGAATTAGGGTATAAATGTTCAGAATATGAAATTGATAATGTACTTGATTTTGCTGCAAAAAATGGAAATTTAGATATGATTAAATATTTACATGAATTAGGGTATAAAGGTACAAGAGAGGTATTTGATTATGCTGTTGAAAGTGGAAATCTTGAAATATTAAAATATTTACATGAATTAGGGTATGAATGTACAAATTGGACAATTTGTTGTGTTGCAGAAAAAGGAAACCTTGAAATATTAAAATGCTTGCATGAATTAGGGTATAAAGGAAATGATTATGCATTTAATTGTGCTGTTGAAAGTGGAAATCTTGAAATTATTAAATATTTACATGAATTAGGGTATAAAGGAAATGAATATGCATTTAATTGTGCAGTAAATAACCAGATTTCACATGAATCAGGGCGTAAAGGTACAGGTAGTTACCTTGAAATAATTAAATATTTACATGAATTAGGGTATAAAGGTTCAGAAAGGTTTTTTAATTTAGCTGTGAGAAATAAATATATTAATACTTTTGATACACGTAGTGACTATTAAACCTAGTAGTGATAAAGTTAAGCAATGCTCCTACACATAAACAAAATTTTAAATAAATCCCAGCGCATGCGCACAGATCTGAAAGATCAATTAGCGCACAAGAGCAATCTGCGATAGCAAGAAAAAAAATTGAAAATAAATTTCTTTACATAAATTATAAGAAATGGATTGTGCAAGTAAAGATGTAGATATTAAATTAGGAAGTTATAAAAGAAGATTAAGTTTAGCTCGTTATTTGCAAAATAAATTTAAATTACAAGCTGAAAAGTTAGAAAAGGAAAGATTAGAAGAAGAAAAGTTAAAAACACCAGATAATATTTATTATTAGAAAAAGTCATGTGACGTCACAGCAAGAAAATCACGTGACATTTTCCGACAAGAAATAAAAAATTAACACTTATTTTAAAAAAATTCAATTTTTCAATTTTTTAAAAAATTGAAAATTTATTTCTTATATAAATAATTATTCACATCATGGTTAGAAATGAACCCTATATTAATATTAATATATGGTTGAAAATATGGTTGAAAATGAAAATGAGCTAGAACCGGCATATCTTATCTACTGTTATAAATGTTATGTTATATTTGGGTTTTCCCTTTTGCAGTTATTTTTTTATGTATAAGAATGCCTTTATACATAACTTATAAAATGTATAATAAATGAAAAAAAAAAAAAAAACAATCAATAAGTAACTAAAAGTCTAACTTATAGTTATTTTAAAAAACAAGACCAATATAAGTGCAATACAAATCAAATGTAAGTTATGTAAATTTAAAAGTTATTCTGACAATTGTGTTAATTACCTTTTTTGCTAATAAAATCTTAAAATATTTTTTTGGATTTAGTGAAAGCTAAAGCAAATAAATTTGATTTCCAACTTAATTTTACGGAAGAAAAAGTAGAAAAGCATTAAATTATAAATTTCATTGTTTAAAAATTGAACTGAAATGCCTAATGTAGTGCAAACTTTTTTTTATAAAAAATTGAAAATCGTTTTAAAAAACTTAGTGGTAATTACATTCATTATTCAAACCAAATATTTTTATAACAGGAAAAACTATGCAGATTCATGAAGTTAATATTAACCTCTCAGGCAGAAGTATAGTTGCAAAACAGCAAATGTTTTTTGTAAATGTCTCAATAAATTTATTTTGGTAGTTTGCAAAATAAACTTGTCTTGACTCTTGGTAATCCCTTTGATAATTCATAATTTATATAGTTTACTTTGGTTAACTACAG